AAGTGAAAATTTGAAATTTGTAGCCTTTTTTAGCAGTTGAATACTTGAAGAGTCCTACAAGTAAGGATTGACCAAAAGTAGAAGAAGCCTCTCAAGCTCTGGAAAGTTATGAAGCTGTTGTATGTTAAGATAAAAATGGAATGGGGTGTAAAGTCCTGCCCCAGAGTCCCTCAATTAGAGCTACTGAGGATTGGGGAATGTGATTTAACAAGTTTATTTTTGTTGTTTTACAGATGATTCCTGGACACCTCGATTTGAATCAGCAAGGAAGGCTGGAACCAACACTCGCACATACAGCTCACTGGGAGAATGGAGCAGTGAAGATGCCCGCATACTCGAATCTAATGGGACATGATTTACCATTTGAACTGCAAGTGAAACAATGGACCTACAGTCAGACAAGATCATGTATCAATCAATTTGCCGTTATCCAGGGTTAGCCTGCCACATGAAACAAATTGAACATTATGTATATTTCTAAAATGCAAGCCAATTGCGCTTTTTTTCTGACATACGCATCCGCATGTATTGATCCATTATGCTATAGTATTAAACAGTATTTGCAGATCATTTCCTCACAGCCATAAAAACAATTCTGGTAACCACTATCCATTAACCGTATGAACCTCAACCAACCCCCAACCATCAGCAGTAAATAACCCCTTTAACCAGTAACCATTTACGATAAGAATGTCAGCCAAACCCTAACCAAATCATTAACCACAGTAAGGCCTAACCGCATGAACCTCAACTATTTCCCAATCATTAACAATAAATAACAATCCTATTAACCATAAGAACCTCAACGAACCCCCAACCATTAACAAACATATGTAACCACTAGCCATTAGCCTATTACCAATTACCCATTTCCTAATTAATCAAAATGAGGAATGTGATCTGTCTAAATGCTGTAAAATACTTTGAAAAAATAAAGCGTTGCTGATGTACTTCACTGCATTTGATGTGCTCTTTTGTGTTCAAAAATCAACAGCACATTTCTCAACTTGCCTTGAATTGAAATTTTTAAAAAAGTTTTTAAAAATTGTTGTAAATGCCCCAACTAGGCATTTTTTTTGAAAAGTTTCTTTTAGTCTTACCTTGGCCCAAGTGAGAATTAGTTTATCTGCGCAGGTTCCCTGGATAAAATAAAGGCATAGTCTTCAACAAAGAAGGCAAATCAACATTAACCTCTGTCGCAGTGAACTACAAGTCTAACTTTGACTTTGAGAATTGAGAAGGGAGGAACTTGTGGACATGACTCAAGCCACAGTGTTTGAAAGAAACAGCTGTCTTGGAGAAATTGGAAGAACAATATTAGTGAGGAAGAGGTTGCAAGGATTCTAAATAACGTACTGGAAGGAAATTGGCTCCTGTCTGGGATCCATCTAGCAGAAGCTATGCTCATGCAACCTCAAGGAATGGCCATACCAGTGAGTATTACTTAGTTACAACTAGTCTATCATTTTTTATAACTCTTCAAACACAGATTCTGTATTTTGAGTGGCCTAGAGCTAGTCCATGGCATTTGCCATATATATTCTGTCTTGTAATTTTCACAGCCAAAAGAACAGCACATGTACCTTGAAATCTGAAATGCTGCACCTATATAGCAACCAAACCATGACCACAGGTATTATAATTATGTTAATGCATACTGATGTGTGTTGCATATTTCACACATTTTACTACAGAGGTACCTGTGAGTTAACCTGTTTCATGAACAGGTAGTTTGGATGAGAGCTGGCAATTGTTCAACCAATATCTTTTTCAGATAAACATTGTTTAATATAGAGATCAAATAAATCATTTAAATCAATCAGAATCTGTGGTAGAAGTGTTATAAACAATATTGACTGCTTTATTTTCAATATTTTGTGGTGTATTAAAACTCGCCTCTGAGATTATCGATGCCTAGGGCCCCCCATTCAAAAATAACAGCCATGTGAGGATGAAGAAGATAAAATTAAAAACAGAAAAAAAAATTACATGGTTTTATTGGACATGTTCCCCAACACAATTTCTATTCACGCAGTGTGTGTACCAAAGAAAGAAACCACCATTAAGTTCAATTGTCCAACTGCGAAGTTCAAGTGCTAAATATTCTAACACTGAAGATGTCACAAGAACTTGACAAATATTGAGCTGTACGGATTTCAAGATTTCTGTGGCTAGATATCTAGCTGGTTTGTCCTTTTTAACACTGAAATGTGCTGGAAGCACCCAAAATGTATCCGTTACTTGGTTGGACCAATCCCCATCAACTGTACTATTGATAAAATGTTTTATGATTACTTCCCTTGATTCCCCAAGCGGGTATTAAGTTCCTTACTTTCTAATTAATGTCTGATAAAATAAAAGGAATTCTTCTCATTTTTATAGGAACCACACTCTAGTATGACGAGCGAGCTGAAACCGTGGACTGATGAAGAAACAAAAGTTTGGTACAAGGTATGTTATCTTCAAAAATTGTTGTTTTGTTTTGTTTTACAAAATACTTCATTGATTCCCCAGAGGGTAAATTTCTTACTTTTTAATTCATGTCTGATAAAGTAAAAGGAATTCTCTTCATTTCTTCAGGAACCACACTCTACTTTGGCGAGACCTGAAACAGTGGACTAATGAAGAAAATGAAAGTCTGGTGCAAGGTAAGTTATCACACCAAAAATCCAGGTTTACACATTCTTCCTTGATTTCTCAAGTGGATGAATTTCTTACTTTCTAATTATTGTCTGATATAGTAAAAGGATTTCTTTTTATTTCTACAGGAACCACACTGTCACTATGACGAGCGAGCTGAAGTAGTGGAGATGAAGAAAATGGAGGTTTGGTACAATGTAAGTTGTCAGCAAAATCTGTTTTTTACCATAGAGGAAGGACACAGCAGGAGTTGCTACTAGGGCACTTCAAAGTGTTCAATGATGGTCGCCGCCGAGTCAGATGAATAATAGAGAACATTCCAAAAATGCCTGATTACTGCCTGCATCTTAGCCGGACCAGCAGGGCCACCAGTAGGATATCCTAGCAATGCTTGTAGTCTTTTGCTTGCAATTAAATACAAATTATCGCTGTTGCCAGGAAATAGAGAGAAAAATCCCTGATGTTAGACCTACTTTTGCCATTGTAACTGAACCTTTTAAATTTGCTCCATTATCCATGGAAGGTTTGTAAGTCTCCTGCGTTCACATACCCCTGCCCAGCCTACATATGCAAATTTCCCATGTGCTGAAAGACGTGATTATGCATGCTGCCCCATGACCCTCCACAATGCACTGCGGTCCTGCCGCCGTGTCTGTCCTTTTCTCAGTGCCTGTCGTTTACGGATGTGTCTTTTATGGCATTTTCGAAGTTTCGATTTCCGTACCTTTCGCGTTTGTGAATTGACTTGATTCCTGTCACGAAATAAAGAGCAATTCCTTATCTCTTGGTAAGAGTGCTTTTTTCATATTTTGTTCTTTGCATGCTGTGTTTTTTGTGTTTCCTTTTTGCCCCTTTTTACTTTGCATCATACACGGGTTTGGGTGTGACCTATACCGTGGTGTGTTTGGTGTGGCTGTTGAACAGGGTCGGGAAGCACTTTGTTCTCTATGTGGTGCGTGTGTTCGAACAATAACAGCCCAATGCTATACGGGTCTGGTCGCGGAGCAGGCCTTGGTGGCCTTCCCCGCTTCTTTGTGGTGTGGTTTGGTGTTATCTGATTGGCCGTCGCCCTGGGCCCTTAACCGGCTTCTGCTTGCCGCGAGCAGCACCCGCTCGGAAGTCGGGCCAGTCAACTCCCTCTAAGCAGGCAACGGGTTTCACGGCGGGTTTTCCACGGTCCACCGTTTCTGCCACAGCGAGTCAGCTAGTCAGCATGTTGCCCAGCCTCCCGTTGCTTCGGACAATTGCGCCCCTTCTGGACTGCTTCGCTGTCGGGGCTTTCGTCCCCCACACCTCATCCGCAGCTCTAGCCTGTCGATGGACTCTGGTCATGAGGCGACCGATCCTGATCTGGGACGCTCCTCCCAGGAGATGACCGACCACTCGGGGGATCCCTGCCCGGTCCTTCCTCCAATTTCCCAGCCTCCAGCTCCCCCCGCACCGGCGAACTAAAAAGTGCAAGGTCAAGTCATCTTCATCTTCATCATCCAAGGCCAAGAAGAGACGCCACTCCAATTCCGATCAACCCCCATGGATGGCGATGCTCCAGTCTCTCTCAGAGGCCTTCACCTCTCTCGCTCGCAAGATAGACTCTAAGCCTCAGCCAGCTGTGACGGCATCTGACCCGGATCGCCTCCTGGCCGTCCCTCCTCCCTCACAGAGGGCCTTTTCGGAGACCGAGGTGACCTCTATTCTCCAACTAGAACCGTTTCGTCTCCTCAGCGGAACCCGGTGCTGCAGCAAGCCCCGCCTCATGGTGACTCGCTCCACTCGGAACTCGGCTTGGTTCTTCATTCTGCCGGTCTTCAGCCTGTCTCCTCCGAGGATAATGACATCGACTTGGTGGCTGGTCTGACTCAGCCTGAGGGCCGCCTCCGCCTTCTTGAGCGTGACATGATCCACGTCCTTAGGCTCCCGTCTTCAGGTCCCATGCCAACTGAACAGGGACATTATTTGTTCAAGCGCCACCCTTCATGCCTTGAGTCAGCTGAACCCGTCTTCTCAGAGATTCCCCCAGACCTTTCCTGTGTGGAGATGATGAATACCCTTGTGAAAGATAGGCGCTGGTGCGCGGTTCCTCCCAGAGCCAATTCCTATTACCGCTTTCCTCAAGAGGATGTATCTCGCTTCTTGTCAACCCCAGATATCCCCGACGCCGCCAGAGACAAGATCTCGTCCGATTCAGGCAAACACAATACCTTCCGGGATAAGGACAAGGCCAACTTTGAAGCAGTTCTCCATTGCTTAGATATAGCATCCTGCTTCTGCCTCCGATGGTCAGCCTTCCTCCTATCAGAGTGTATTGCCTGAGCCTGTGAAGAAGACTCTCCAGTCTCCCAAGACTTTGCAGCGGTAGCTCTGCGAGGGCTCGAGGAGGGACTCAACTCTGTCTTCGAGCAATCTCCCTTCTGGCCACTTCTAGCCACAGAGCCAATACAGTGGATGCCATGAATATCCCCTACAAATATGTCAGGAACAAACTCATGGATCTCCCGCCCGGGACGATTTCTTTGCCGGGAAGTTCACCAAGATCCTCGAGTCGGAGGTGAAGTGTATGGAGACCGCCAAGAAGATCTCGCTTCATAAAACTGCAGCTCCTTCCAATCAGCAGCCTTCACCACCACCGTGACGAGGGGTTGATCCGCCCCGTCTGCAGGCTGCTCTTTTAGTCGTCCGCTTCGGGCAGCTACTCGGCCATTGCACCCCGGGCGAGCTCCGGCCACTTCAACTACATCTCTTATCTTGGTACCGCCCCATAAGCAACCCCATTTCTACCTTGGTCCCTCTTCCGCTGGATGTTCACAACCACCTCCGGTGGTGGACCGTCAACGAGCACCTGTCGACTGGTCGTCCCTTTGCTCCCCCTGAGACCGAACGTCATGATGACAACGGACACATCACTATTCAGATTGGGGCCTCCCTTCCTCCACTTTGAGCATCCTCGTTTTCGGACTCTTTCTTTCGCAACAAACACATCAACTTCCTTCGCCACTTCCTTTGCAGCAGTACTTAGTGGGTTTCTCGGTTCGAATCCAGCCTGCGAGTGACAACTTCACAGTGGCAGACATACATCAACAACCAAGGTGGCACTCGCTCCCCTCAACTTTGCGTCTATGGCAGATCCTCATGTGGGGGATTGATCATGGGATTGCCCCCCCAGGCCGTTCACATAGCAGGAACAACCAACAGCATAGCTGGCGCTCTCTCTTGGGGCACTGTCCACCCGACAGAGTGGACTCTTCATTCGGGGCGTGGTCAGTCGGATCTTCACAGAGATCGAGCGTCCCCACGTTGACCTTTTCAAATCGGCCGACAATACTCATCTTCCAACGTTCTGCTCCAGGTTTCCTCACCCATGTGCTTGGGCGACGGACGCTCTGGTGTAGACCTTTGCCCCAATCTCCCTCATCCCATGGGTCATATCCAAGATAGAACAGGAACCATGCTGGGTCCTCATTGCCCCATTCTGGCCTCACCAACCGTGGTTCCCGAGACTGACAAGGCTTTTGGTTCGACGACCACTGATCCTTCTGCCCAGGGAGGACATTCTTCGTCAACCCAGGTCAGGAGTCCTCCATCCAGCACCGGGCAATCTTCACTTGACATGCCGGATATTGTCCAACGATCGTTCAGAGCATCAGGCCTATCTGCGGATGCTGCGTCCATGGCAGCCTTGGGCCGAGGACTGTCCACACACAAAATTTACAACAGTCGACTACAACATTTTACTAGATGGTGTGACGATCGCAACCATAATGTTTCTCCAACCGAAGCTTCTGTGAGCTCCGTTGTAGACTTTTTCATGTATCTGTTTCACTTGGGTTTCCAGATTGCCACTATCCGCAGCTACCAGTCAGCCTTGGTAGCCGTTCATTCGGGGTTCAGCGATGGATCAACAGTTTCTGACAACCCTGCCATTCACCAATGTTTGTCAAGCGTCCTCACGTCAAACGCCTTGTTCTATCCTGGGACCTTGGGAGCGTCTTGCTCGTTCTCACAGGTCCCTCCTTGAGCTGCTTTCTGATGCGTCTGATCTCCATCTCGGCATCAAACTGGCGTTCCTCCTGGCTGTGGCCACTACCATATGCGGCAGTGAGCTACATGCTCTGTCAACTGTTAAAGGTCACATCCGCTGGGAACCGCACAGGGTTTGCCCTATCCCAGCCATCGAGTTCCTGACAAAGAACCAGATGCCTACCTTCCGGCCTCCCGACATATTTGTCCCCGACATAGCCTCCCTTTCGGGAGATAACTCTGACAAGAAATGGTGCCTGGTTCGTACTCTCAAGTGGTACCTCACCAGGATCAAGCATCACCGGAATTCCTGTTCCATGCAGACTCTTTATCACGATGACAAAGCCCTTTCATCTGGCGACAAAGGACATTATTGCCCGATGGACAGTCTCCGCCATCATCTCAGCCGCAAACCAGGACTGGCCAACACGACATGACGAGATGACCCAATCTCACGTCAGAGCCCATGATGTTCGGGCCGCCTCCGCATCCTGGTCATACTTTAAAGGTGTTTCCCTGGCAGATATCTGCTATGCAGCTTGCTAGAGATTCCCGTCCACCTGCACCAAGTGCTATCTGGAGGATAGGAGCGAGGCGGCTCATGGCGTAGTGACCTTGCACTTGGCGGTTGGGACAGCAATTGGGACAATTAATTCTTCCTCATAGATTCCTCTTTCTTGTGGTGAGTGTTCGCTTGGGCGACACCTGCTTATGTTCTTTGGAAACTACTCCCCTGGTGCCACTCTGCATATGTAGGCTGTGCGGGGTATGTAAACACAGGAGACTCCTCCCCCACATTAGTGTGGGTCAGGTCTCCTAGTGATACGTACCCCTGCCCCGCCGCTCCCGCCTGTCCTTCCCCACTTTGGCTCTGGGGATTTCCCCGCTTCTAAAAGAAGGACGAACATGGTGGTGGGACGTACCGCAGTGAATTGTGGAGGGTCATGGGGCAGCATGCATGATCAAGTCCTCCGGCGAATTGTAATAGGCACATGGGTAATTTGCATATGTAGGCTGGGCAGGGGCAAGTATCACTAGGAAACCCGCCCCACACTAATGTGGGGGAGGATTTTATTCTCCTTGCAATACATCAGTTTTCAAAGCCTTGATACGAATTTGGCCAAGACTGGCCAACTACTACTGCTACTGGAAAGCTTAGTTCATTAGGAACAAAATGCACTATTTCATCACCGGGAGTGATCGTGAAATCTCATAAAATATGCTTTTGTACAAATGACATAATAAAATTTATTCAAACAAAACACAAGATCTTGTAAACAATCCGATTATTTATTCCCAAAATAACTCCAGAAGAAAGAGCTCATTAAGGGCAATGACTGCACATATAGATTTTGGGCACACAGCGTAATGCAAGCAACTGTGCAAGCATTAAATTTGATGTTGTCATGAGATCATACCAAGCACCAACAAAGGCATGAATATTCAATTTTCTATTTTCAGTACACCAAGTTTTAAGGATGCAGATTACCAGCAAAAAATTGCAGTGGCGATCATGGGGTACAAAGGGGAGTGGTGGATGTGAAATAAATGGTGTGAAGCAAGCGCTGGCTGCGCTCTAGCTATGGACATACCAGGCATGCCAGAAAGTGGTAATTGGCCAGATGTTACCCCCCTGGCAGTTCCAACTCCTGTGTCCTTCCTCTATTCTTCCTTGATTCCCAAGTTGGTAGATTTCTTACTTTATAATTAATGTCTGATAAATTAAAAGGAATTCATTTTCATTTCTACAGGAACCACATTCTACTATGACGAGTGAGCTGAAACGGTGGAGATGAAGAAAATGAAAGTTTGGTATAAGGTAAGTTATCACTGAAAAACTTTTTTAACCACTTCCTGCCGGGGCAGTTATCAATGTTGATGATGCTGGGCCAGGATATTTATCATTTTTTTCTGTTTTTAAAATTCTTCAAAAATTCCTATCTTCATTTACTGGACACTCACAAACATGTGAAGGACTGTCTGGTGTCCACTCTTGCCTGACAGACAAAATCTATTGATGCCTGAGTATTTCAGCCAGGCTTGCAGCCTTGTAAAAAAGAGTCCAGATTGTGTGGTGTTATATAACTTTCTTTTGTTCACGAACCTGGCTCAGTGCACTGCTGACCTCTTTTCAATAGGGGCCAGATAAGCGTGCAGCGGTGCTGTGTGGCTCGTCGCTGCGGTGGTGGAGTGCTTTTGTCCGCGGTAGTAATCCACTCGCTCTCAATGCCCCAAACCCCTGGTATAATGTTTCAAAATAAGGCTGGATTATCTCCACTTTTGAGAGTGAAAATTGTTGGTAATGCCAAGCACCCTGGTCTTTTGTTCCGAGTACGTTTTTCTTTGTTACAAGGCCCTCTTCCCTTTATCCGAGTTTGGAGACCTCAGCCGTGCATATAAAGCAAACGGATTCAAAATCCCCGGCAAGAAGTGGTTAACCAATACCTGCTGGGGACTCCGAAATCGGAGCCGTATGGTTTATGTGCAGCGATGAGCCACACAGTACCGCTGCAGGCTAATCTGACCCCTATTGAAAAGAGGTCAGCAGCGCACTGAGCCAGGTTTGTGAACAAAAGAAAGTTATATAACACTACACAATCTGGGCTCTTTTTTACAAGGCTGCTGGCGTGGCTGAAATACTTGGGCGTCAATGAAGGCCACCTGTCAACTTAGAGTAGTGCCTAAAGATTACTTGGTACAGCTATAAACTACCGTTAAGTGAAATTATGAATTTGTGAAGGATTTTGAAAACGGAAAAAATGATAGTCATGCCAGCCCAGCATCATCAACATTGAAAATTGCCCCGGCATGAAGTGGTTAAAACCAATTTAACCGTAACACTGTTTGCCTTTTTCACCCTTAAGTTCATATTTCTCATTGTTTGATTAATTTTGCTTGATTTTGTTTCAGCAACTGCTCAGAAGGTGTGACCATCCAAGTAGAGGCCGGGGGACAAGATTGCATGTTCACTAAGGTGAGGTAACCATTTTTTTGTAGCTGTGAACATGCACAAGACCCCCGGATCGCAGGATTCATCCGAGATGGTTAAAACAGTACGCGAGACAGGTCATCTCAAGTAAAGGCCGGGGAATTCACGAATTGCATGTTCATAAGGTGAGGTAACCATTTCTTACAGGCGTGAACATGCACAAGAACCCCGGATCATAGCAACCAGGCTTGGTAAAGTAACCCTTTGTTTTCCAAGCTAACTTGAAATGCTCTTTTTCCAGTTAGCTTCTGG